GCAGTCAACAGGTTACGGTACGGACCGGGTACGCAGCGTGTAGTTAACATGAGACACGCGGGGAGACTTAATATACGATGGCGAGGCTGGGCGGGTGGAGAGCGAAAGAGCCATGAATTACTTATTAAAGATAGGGCACAGCCACGGGATCAGTTGGCAGGAGGTAATCTACAGATGCAGGTTAGAATGCGAACGGCTAGAGCACAGTTCTGACGGCCTATCAGCAGAAAAAGAGAATAGGAAGAAGCATGACGAAGAGAAAGAAGAAAAGAAGAAGAAGAAGTGAAGAAGAAGCAGAGAGGAAAAGCACATAAAAGAATCGAGACAAAGAAGAAGAGAAAGATGAACATAAGCGCCAATTGTGACAATGATGAGGAAAAAAGAGAAGAAGAGGAAGTGACACAGTAAAAAAAAGAGGAAAAGAAAACAAGAATAACGATAGAAGCAAGAAAGAGAAGAAGAACAGAAGCAAGAACCGAAAGAGCAAAAGAGTCAAGACATATACACTAGCAAAGCATGCTATTTTATTGTTCATCATCTCCTGTATACCCTGATTTCTTTTGCATAATGATGGCGACGCAGCACCGAGTAATAGAATAGAAAATATAAACACTTTGGCCATATATTGCACAGGTTGAATATCTGTTATTTAGTTTTGTTTTAGAAGTGAAAATAAAGCAAGTGAACCATGAATATCGCGAGAAAATTAGATTTGCGCTTCTGGATCTCAGATTGAACTTGGAGCGCGAAAACCAAACGGCTACGACGTCGTCACCTGATCAAACTAAAAATCAAGATACAAACGAGGCGATTAGAACAGGAAAACTAAAATGAATAAAGATTATATTATTAGAGCGTATTCAACGATACAGACCACCATGAGTCGTATGGAATAGTAGGGAACGTACAGCTGATATATGTCGGTGATGATATAACCACGAAAAAATGTAATAAGTGACAGAATCGCTCCTCTTAGTAATCTAGTTGGAAAAAAGAGACTATCGCAACAATCCCATTTTATGCGTATATTATTTATTTTATTTAAATTGTTATATTTTTATTATTCTATAACGTTTTAACATAATTATATTATATAGGCCTACCATAGTATACTCCTTAGTTGAAACATCCTAAACCATGCACTTATAAAACGGTTATTGCAATTTCACAAGATTTAAAATATTAGGGGGACCTAGTCATACTTGAAAATATTGACGGTATAGGATACTACCTAAAGAGTGTTTAGGCAACAAAAGCCTGTAAGATATCTGCGTTCCACGTTGTCATCTTTTAAAGTGAGCGGAGTTGCAGTCGTCCTCATTTCACGATTCCGTCACCCATTTAATATACCTTATCGCGGATTTAAAATGAGACAGATAGAGAGCGGAGCAGATCGCAGTGACGGCAGCCGCCTTACAGCCGCGAGTGGCAATCGAAGCTTCGCAGCGTAATAGCAGCGGATAATCGATTAGATAGAGCGCTAGCGAGACGTCTGTTCATTTTATACCGATTAGATATGTATTCTCTCTCTCTCTTCTCTCTCTCTCTCTCTCTCTAGGTATAACTATATATATACACCGCTAACAAATAATAAATTTATAAGATATATAATATATGAATTTAATTATATATTATTGCATGTATGTATATTAATATAGGCGTTTGAGTTGTTCTAAGCATCTGCTCCAAAGGCAACATAATAACGCAGCAGTATATGTTCGCTTCACAAATAACTCGATTTGATTGAAAAATAAAGCAAATGAAAAACTTCGAAGCTTATCAAAAACATAAACATTAAAATCACTGTTATAGTCTTCATAATATTAAGCAATAAACATCTAACTATACGTACGGAACGGCTATGTACTCATAGACATTTCGTGAACCAAGATACGATAGGATCCTATGACAACAAAATTTCAACGTCAACGTTGGGCTTTTCATAAATGAGATTTAGAAGAGCTCATTGAGTGAATCAGATAACGTGAGGGAAAATGCAAGGACACGGCACACAAGAACACCCGAGTATACGCACAAAAATTACTCATCACGAATACTAGAATTTGGATCGCTAGACGGAAAGACGCTATTTCGGGCATATGGAAGTTGATTTCAGGCATTGCATATTTTAAAGGCAGGCAGCGGACCCAATGTCAGCAAAAACGATTCCTAACTCCCGACTCAGAAAATGATTAGCAACGAGGGCGCCACTGGAACAGGAACCAGAGATTTGCCAAGCCCACACGGCGACCTGTACATAGTAAAGTTAGAACAGAAAATGAAACAACCACACGGAATTTTCAAGAAAAATAGGTGAAAGACACGAAAAATAACAAAAAGTTCTGAGTCAAAAATCCAGATAGTACCCACAAAACTACAATTCTGTCAAAATCCTTGTCCAGCAAAGGGAGCTAAAGTTTGGCGCGGAAATGTGTAACACAAACTCATTCTAAGTCATATCCTGTACATCACAAACGGTAATTTTTGAGAAACACAAAGACTTAGATTCTGTCTCAATCCGGGCTTAGACAAAGTTAAATGTTGATAAGAAAAAAACTCAATTGAATGTCAATCCGGTTACAAAAAACATAGATTTTGTTGAGAGACAAATATATGGAAAAGAGTGTGAGAAGGATACATTGAGCAAGAAAGTGGAATGAGAGAGAAGTGTGGTAAATAAGGACCATGGGGTAGCCAATCATGTGTTTATTCATATGACAGAATGAGTGTACTTTTAATGAGGATAAAAAGACGAACAGAAAGCCCGAGCGAACTAGCACCGGAACACTGCACCTCCAATATAAGCAGGGTGAGTGATTCGGGGTGTGACTAGTTTGGAAAAAATGAGTTATTGGTGGGAGTGATTGAGAATTTTGAGTTTCGCAGACCCCACGCCCACACAAAAAAAAAACCAGAGCCAGGGAGAACGCGTGGGGCGCGGGCCCGGGGCCACGCAAGTCGGAGCGGCGCGGAAGGAAAGACCCGTGGGGCGCGAGACCAGTCGCCCAACACCAACAAAAGCACGAGAAACCGGAGCAACACACTGCGAAGGAGCACAACACAAAGAAGGGACACAGCAAAAAAATGTGGTTTACAAATTGCCTTCTCTGGGACAGGTTGACAGAATTGAGTTTTGTGTTTACAAAATTGAGTTTTGTGGAACCGGTTCGACAGAATTGAGTTTTGTGTTCACAAAATTGAGTTTTGTGGGACAGGATTGACAGAATTGAGTTTTGTGTTCACAAAACTCATTTTTGTCAAGTTTATAGGTACAAAAATGCCTGTCCTGCATGGCGGCCCGTAACTGATTCATGCTCCATAAAAGTATAATTGGCGTGATTTACGTTACATATTTATATAATACGATCAATTAATTAGTTTTTGTATGTATTTTAAAATTATATAAAGTAACCAATTAATGCTCCATAAAAGTACAATTGGCGTTATTTACGTTGCATATTTTATCGAATTCACCTTCTTGCTTCAGCAAATCAGCTTGTCCATCTGTGCAAACGAAAAATTGGGGCGTTTTGGAACGTGTCTTGTTCGAGGAATGCTGAAACTTTGCTACGTTTACCCGGAGAAATGGGGGTGAATTCGGCGTTTTCATGTGTAATTGGCTTGCCGGAAAGTAAGGGGCTACTCCAGGAACATCGCATTTCATAGAGAGACAGCTTCACTCGCTTACCTACATATCATCGTCGGATCTGCTAGGCACTTTATGAGGAAACTATTTAATTTATTCAAGTATCGCGTGCGGTCAGAGGCGTCACTGCGAGTGTTTAATTTAATGTTGGAAATGTTTTCGCATGTTACGTTTATATACGTTTATATGTCTTTTTTATTCAGGTTGTGGCCAATTACTACGCCAAGCACAAGATGATTGAGTTTCTACCAGACGTGCCGATTGCATGGCCGGGTGGGCATGGGCCGCCCCCAGATGTCCCCGTTTGCGGTTTCTGGGGTGATAACCCCATCTGCAAACGGATAGGTAATCTTACTTTGTATAATTGTCTATCAGTTACCTGTTTGAAATAAAAATACCAAACTTGCTCGCTGTTGCCGTATGACTACCCGTATGACACTCCGTAGGCTCTTTTATACATTCGCCACAGGATTACTTGACGAACTTGTACTATAGTGTAAGTATAATGTATATACTGTAACTCTCGCGAGAGCATTTCATGCAGTTTAATAGAAAGTCCCATGTCTACCGAAGATGACGTATACCCACAGAAGAGAGTGTAATGTATTTTGAAAATACCGCGGTATGTATCTGATGATATAGAATCGACATGTGAGACCAAATGTAATACGTGTTTAGCGTCTGTAAATTTCTATTAAATTATATATTCTTCTGTGATATGATAATCGGTCCTTCTCTCTAAAACATCTGCGCCAAACTTTCAGTGAAGCATAATTTGCTTGTGTTTACCAATAAAGTAGAGGACGTCCTTTTACTGACGTCCTTTATTGACATCCTTTTACTAGCAGGTGTTTTAAGCAGGCCGCACCATTTTTTAATGTCTTGTCATCGTTCCCCACTAGTTTGAAACCCCTACAATCCCTTAGCGAGGTAGAGTTCAAAAACATTACAAGCATGTTATTTAGTTCAGCATATTATTAACGAGCATATTATTTAACTTTGCAGAGAAACTACCTACATGGATAATATCAGGAATATCAATGCTTGCGCTTGTCGGCGTTGTTATCACAATGCTTATATACAGGTATTGGGGTTGTGTTTAGTTTTCCCGCACAGTAACACGTGTAAGCAATGGGGTGGGGTGTCTTACGATGAGTTACGAAAATCCAATACTGCAACTCAGGGTGTACTGAAGGCAGGGAAGCTACGTATTTTCTTGTTAGATAAAATCGTGGTGCTGCTCCCTCTATATGTTTTGTAGGCAATATCCTACCTATGCTATCATATAGTGTAATATGGTCGTTCTCTTACAACCGTAAACAGAAAGTTGCGAAACGAGGCGGATCTAAGAGACATGTGGTGGAAGGTGATGTGGGCAGACATCACGCTACAAAACACGCGACGAGTTTACAGTGTTTCGCTGTTGTCGTTCAGCGCGATGGTAAGTAGCTTACAACATGTGGGCGCCCCTATGGGAATTATTAATTCGCCTTCCATCTTACGTTACTTCTCAGAATAATCTTCTTACGCGAATGTGTATTTTTGGGTGAAATTTGCTTTTTCATTATTGATTATTTTATCAGCGAGTTATGGCGCGCGACTCGTTTTCTATAAAAACAGAAAGAATTTTTTTATGTACTGATGATTCCGATGCCACAGAAATATGAAACGTACGCCATTTTACATTGTTAGAGTTTACATTTAATAAGATTTCGTCAAACCGAGTCCGCATTGTTTAATATCGCCTCATTCTACTATATAATATACCCCCTACCGATATATACACGTACTAGTTAGTAGAGATTGCCGTTGCTGAACGTGCTTAGTGCTATGCTACCGCCCCTTGCCGTGTCGTGGTGCTGTGCTGATGTGTGTGTGTGTGCAATGTTGTTGTGTTGTGTGTGTGCGTGCGCCGCCGGGGGGGGGGTGTCTTTGTGTGTGTGTCGTGGCGGGGGTCTGTGTGTGTGTGGGCGGTTCGTGTGTGTTTGGGGGGGGGATTGTCGTGTGTTGTATGTGTATGTGTTATGTTGGGCGGGCGGTACACACATGTGTGTATACACATTTTTCCAAGTTTTTTTTTTAGAACTCTCAAAGAAGTGATGAGACATTGGCATCTCGAGCGGGAACAAATAAGCCTCAGCAATTCGCGACGTTTGCAGTGTACAAAGTGAGTCTAAGCACGGCGTATGTAGGCTTTCAAACTTAAAATTACGCTAATCGAGTCTAGCCGATTATTTTATACGAGCGGAAAACGGCGATTTTTTTGCGACTGCAATGTGTGTGCTCCTGTGTTTGCTTTCCAATAGAGTGAAATAGGATGTGCCGGCGTATCTATGATTACGCGTGCAAACCTTACATTACATCGAGGAATTTTCGAGAATAATCGCCACATTATAATGAAAAAAAAATATCAGTGAAATTCCGCGTTCTGACACAACGGTGTGTGTGTGTGCGCGCGCACGTGCGTACATGAGTGATCATCTTGTTGCGTGTGCAACTAAATAGTAAATGATACACACATGTTTTAATACATATCATCTTCTTTATCCTTCGCAGGCCAGGCAGGTTGTCATTAAACGACTCGGAGTAAAGCAGCTAGTCATCAAAAAGTCGCTATTGGTGGAGTTAAACGAGGTGCTAGAGGTCGAAACGCGCAGCAACCACAACGTAGTATACAACTGCGCTCGCGGTTACGGTTAGGGGTATAGTTAAAGTTTTGCTAAGAATTCGGACCATGACTATTGGTTAGAACTCTGGTTAGCGAATTCGAATTCGGATTGCAATTTAAGTTAGGTATATGGTTGGTGGATGGAAAACTAAGTGTATCTGCACAAGATATTTGTGGTCACGGTTGCCGTAGGAAAACGACATACTCTCGTTATTTTTATTTCGCATAAAATCTACATCGTTACCGTACATAATCATGCATATCTGTTTTACTAGGAATACTAGTGAATATTTATGACGTTTTTGAGTGCATAATCGATATGAATTTATTATTGTGTTCTGCCCTCTAGCTGCGACAGTTACAACACGACAATATCAACCGAATCGTAGGCATAGTCACAGACGAACAGCTAAGCGACGCAGCAATCCTCACCGACTATTGTCAAAAGGGCAGTTTGCAGGTATTTCGCGTCATTAGAAAGATATCGCGGCGTAGTCACGTTCGCTGTTAGGCACAGCGTCTCTGTTAGTACGTGTGTGCGAACGTTTTCCGTTCGTTTTGCTGCGACGAATATTAAACGACTCAATCATGTGTTTCCTGGGAGCAATACCTACAACGATTTTGCTCAGTATGCCTGAATAGTTGAAATGACCTTTACTACAAAATGTGAATGTTCGCTAAGTTTCGAGGTAAAAATGTTTACAAATTGATATAATATCGCGTAGTGTGCCATGAGGCTAAGAATAATTGAATATTAGCGAAAACTCATAAAAGCAAACGAACTATCATTAGGTGTGTTTTTTCTCCAATAATTACTGTCTGTGGAACGTGACATTCGTTATATGCCGTGGTACGGACATAATAATATTATATGCATGCATGCACGTTCAATTGTCGACAGTAATTAATTTTTAATATATTTGTTACTCCATGGTATCTGCGCCCAAGGACATGCTGCAGAATAACGCCATTGATATAGATTGGTCATTCAAGTTCTCGTTAATAAGAGACATCGTGGAGGTAATTAACTCCATTTGAACCAATCGTGCGTTTAATTACCCAACTATGAAACGCGGACTCGCGTGTGCGCCTTACGGTACGCGTTTTTGCGTCCTCCGCACGTGCATGTGGCTAAATTAGCACGTAGCACTAATTTCAATAGGCACTGCAGATTGCATGCATGCTTTGCGGTTTGAATAATAGGTCTACGCGGATTATATCTTTCACAGCGTATGCGAATTCATTGCTTCGAGTTTAAATGGTTTTGCGGGTAAAAATGTATTCGTGTGTTTGTATGCACAATCGACGACAAAGTATTTTACACCTTATACTTCAAACACCGACCTACTCTGCCCCATCCATACCTACTCTGCTATATGCGTACACTTGTATTATATTACTGAACATAACGTGTTTCCAAGACCGAACGTCACCACACTATAGACCTACTATCTCACGTCATCCCGCCACAACGACTCTCGGTTTCCCATGCCCTCGATCCATGTTCCACCCGACTGTCCATCCCTACGCCTTCAGGCTAATATTTGCTAATATCACTTTATTTATTAAAACCTATATGATATTGTTCACAAATCTGCTGGTTACACAGGACGGTGGTACCATATATTATCAGGAGTGTATAATATAGATTTAATATCATAGCATAATATCAGGAGTGAATAATAATAGATTCTATTATTATATATTTTATATCTAAAATCGCGATTACACAAATGTACTTTATTGGAATAATCAACCATGGTGCTCGGGTATCGTCATGCATGAATGCGGGTTTCTTCTGTCAAATTACAAGCGGGCTGTAAAGCTATATATAAGCTAATATAATAATATAATATAATAATATAAGCTAATAGGGACTTTATTAGATGTACACAGTGTTGCTATACTTTCCACAAACGATATAATTCTGGACGTCTATCATTCATGTTACTGCAATTCATGGTCAGACGTAGTGCGGATCACTGGGTCAGAGATCCATGGAGCCATCCACAGCTTACTATTCTGCAGTGTTTACGGTACGTTGGACGCCATGGATTCATGCGATTTTTGTTGTTACCTATTTTATGTTTAAGGGGATGGCAGCAATTCACGACTCGGCGATACGCGTTCATGGCCACCTTAAGTCGACCAACTGTGTTATAGACGCCCGCTTCGTTGTGAAGATTACTGACTTTGGCCTACGAACTCTACGCACCACTGAGGCGTCCCAGTCCGAACAGAATCAACAGGTTTATTATAGAGGTGCGGTTCCTGTAGGCCCTAGCAACTGCTGCGCAGGGAACAGTCAATTACGAAAGCAACGTTCGGCCACCCGCTACGGCGCTGCAGCGTTTAAATACAACATTGTTGCCCGAATTGCGAGAAAAATTCCGTTGCATTCACGGTGAACGAAAGTTAAACTCTGATTTTTCATAGATGTTGTATACTTTTGTTATTTGTAGATAAATTAGGTAAGAAAAAAGGCGGAAGCTGTCGATATAAAACGAGAAACAAAAACGTAAAATCTATATAACAAGCCATTCGTTATATTAGAGCGTAATTTAAGAGATTTTGTTGGCATTTCAACGACACAATTTGTTCACGACACAAAATAGATTTCCGGGTCAGATAAAAAGTTGTTATTGTCTACGAACTACACATTTTAACAAGAATAAATATGTCTCACACATTGCAGAAAGGACGGATTATCGATGGTACCGCCTTTTCTTTATGTTGTCGAGTAGGAGGCGTTATTATAAGACTTACTAACTTTATTCGTTTTAAAGCGAATTAGCGAAATTAAAAGGTGTCATGAGTGGTGACGGTTTTTGGCGATGAGTCCTCAAAATAACCTGACGTGATGTGCTATGACTACATCAGTCAACTTGCGCAATCCATTTAACGTGAAGTCACTAGAAAACTACACTTCAGCCATGTTAGGTTTATGTTAGGTTTCAGCCATTTAGGTTTATCGTCGCGAAACTTATAATGCATTAAAATTATTATATTCATCTTGTATACCTTTGCAAAGAAAATTGCAAGCAAGAAGAAAGATGACATTTTTTAGACGTTATAAGTGCCGAGCTGAGGGGGGAGGCCTGTCCCGTTACTACGGGCCACAGATCTATTGCCCTATACTCCGTGAGGATTCGATATAAGTTATTTAAAGTGGAATCTGTTGCCAGAATCATTATAAATAGTCTTGACTATATACTGATGCATTATGTATCACTCGTCGCCGTTGAGCCATAAAGTAATTATGTACCTACTAAGTAAAACGTATAAATATAAGTAAGTATTATAAGTATATAAGTTAAGTAAGTATAAAGTAATTATCTCAATGAACTGATGCATTCTCGCAGGGCTCCTGTGGACAGCACCGGAGCTCCTACCGCATGTTTCCTTCGTGGAGGCAGCCTGCTCCCAGAAGGGCGACGTGTTCAGCTTCGCTATCATTCTACAGGAAATCATCACGCGGCTTGGTCCGTACGAAATGCTGATCTGCGAACCTGCTGGTCTGTTCTTATCAAAGATATCCTATATAAACCGTACTTACCAGCCAATGATGATGCATGTGTCTATTAACAATCCATAATGGATCATATCCGAGATCGACCTATAAAATACAGTGAGAGTACAGCTACGCATACGCGCGCGCTCGCACGCACATACACACACATGCACACACACCCACACACGCACGCACGCACACGCACACACACACATGCATATGCACCCACACACGCACGCACACACACACACACACACACACACACGTCACACACACACACACACACACACACACACACAACCACACACACACACACACTCACACACACACACACACACACCACACACACACCACAAACACACACACGCACACTCACATACACGTGCGCAACATACTCACGCACGTACGCATTCAGAGGCAGGCACGTACTTAGCACGCACGGACGCATATATATATATATATATAGCGATATTAAACAATGCGGACTCAGTTTGAAGAAATCTCATTAAATGTAAACTCTAACAATGTAAATTACGTGCGTTTCATATTTCTGTTGCATCGGAATCATCAGTATATGCATAAAAAATTCTTCCTGTTTTTATAGAAAGCCAGTCGCGCGCAATAACTCGCTGATTAAATAATCAATAATGAAAAAGCAAAGTTGTTAGAAAATTTGCACATTTCACTATCGAAGAATGCCATAGCTTGTCAGCACAATCACAGTTAAACAGCGGTAGCTATATGAAAATAGACAAGCGCAAACTTTTCGCATGTAACATTGATTGAATTAATTTATTTAAACAATATTTAGATATTTGTATAAGTCGAACATTAATTTAATTAATTATTTAATCTTAACATCTGTTCATATAGAGATCATTGACAAATTGAAGGAGGTATCAGGTAAGCCGTGGAGACCGGTTGTGGACCCGGCAAGCTGCGAACCGCAGCTCTACGGGCTGATGACGACATGCTGGCATGATGACGTCATGACGCGACCCAGCTTCCCTAGCATACGCTCTACTCTAAAGCAAACAGCAGGGTATGCAGCGTGCGCTAGTACCTGCGTGCGTGTGCGCGTGTGCGCGTATGTGGGGCGCGCGTGTGCGTACGACGTGAGTTTGCGCTTGCGTGTGTACGTGCGCATGTATGTATGTGTGCGTGTGTTTACGTTCGTGCGTGTGTACGCGCTCCTGTGTCCGATGAACTTGTCGGGTGAGCCGCAGGGGTAGTACGAGTTGCGTTCTAAACGACGATCCAATTTCTGCGATTTTTCTGCGATCTACTTTTTACGTTTTTTTTCATCAAGGTTTAATAAGCACGGGAGTAACCTTATGGATCACCTGCTTAGCAGGATGGAGCAGTACGCTAATAACCTCGAATCCCTCGTTGATGAGAGAACCCGAGCATTTCACGAAGAGAAACGAAAGTCGGAAGAGCTTCTCTATGAAATCTTACCAAGGTTCATATCACAAATAACTACTACGTTCAGCGTTCGGTATTACTTTTAGTGAGATCTGCAGTTTTAGTTATCTTTAGTTAGAAGCTTTGCAAACTTTAGTTATCCTAAATACATTTCGTATTAATGACGATTTGTAAATATATGTCAAATAATTACAAATTCATGTTAACCCTTTCACGCAAATTCTTGCTATCGTGCTGCGAGTATCGCCACTGTGGTAATGTTTTTCCAGGAGCGTTGCTAAGCAGCTGATTGCAGGGAAGACGGTCGAGCCGGAGACATTTGAAAACGTAACGATCTATTTTAGCGACACCGTTGGTTTCACGGCGCTCTGCTCTGAAAGTTCACCGCTAGAGGTAAATATAAACTTCGAAATATAGCCAGTCACACAAAAGTCATTGGTAGTGGCTGAACATATGAAACGTGAAATCCTATAATGGAGTCCGTGCTTTTAAAACGATACCCGTCGCGTAATGGTCGCAGCACGTACCAAGCGTCATCAATTGTGTGACTCGCTTTTCCGATATATCCGTTTCTGTATATTCATCGTATTTTACTTTGTGCCCTGTATGCGCGTACATCTCTCATGCGCGCAATCACTCACGCACGTTTATATATCTGTATCTGTATCTGTACTGTAAGTCGACGCAGTCAAACTTGACTATTATGCGACGGGCTATAGCTAGCCAGAGGTGTGACCTAGCTTGGGTAAAGCCAGGTAGTTAGCCTTATATATATATATATATATATATATATATATAACTTTGACTATATATTATCATTCCTTCATCATATCATTTACTAAACTGAAACAATTTATTTCAACTAAGAATAAACTTTGCCACCTATTGTAAGAAACCGGTTTGTAATGGGGGCTGATGCCCTGGATCTTCTCTGGATCCGCTCTTGCACATGTATAATAAAAATACAATAACTGTATAATAGGGGTCGAATGAAATTAGGTTCGCAGATGCATTTCACAACGGTTACGGTTTGTTACAGGTAGTCAACCTGCTGAACGACCTCTACACCTGCTTTGATACCATTGTACTCAATTATGACGTGTATAAGGTAAAATAATGACGATCGACATAGCTAGTAGCAAATTTCTTCTTAGAAAGTAACTAGATGCTTTTTCCTCTATTATAATACATACATGTTAATGAAATAACCTCGCTGGACGAGTCTGATAATACTAGTAAATGCGCACATTTTAGCGTTTATTATGTGACACCTGTAGTTTTTCTGTTTAATTATGTTCCAAGTCTGGTCCTATCCTCCCTCCCTCCTACTCTGCTTTCGTTAAAATTTGACCACTGGCTGCGTTTCACGTAAACTACAACTTTAATTTACTAGAGCTTATCGGTTAGAATTATCACGCGCGCACATACAAACATACGCATGCACACACGCATGTACGCACTCACGTACAATGGCTTCGCGTAGTTGTGTGTGTATGTCAGAATGCACATATAGTCGGTTTAGATGCAAACATCTGCTTATTGCATAAATTTTACAATCGCGGAAAAAATAAAGTCGGACACCGTTCACTGATATATATAATAAACTTATATATAATACAGACAATAATAGTGTAATATATATATATTATATAATTATGTGCTATATAGGCCTATGCGCTGTTTTGTACAGTATCACTCAGAAATTTTATTATTTTAACTGCTCAATTAACTCTCTATTACATTTCTCAGATTTTTTTCTCAGTGAAAAAGGCTGTCATGAAGTCCATGCAATAAAGATTTAATAATATCAGAAATATATAATAGGATTATCTATATATTATACACTCGTGATGATATATAATCTGAAAGCGGAAATAAACATTTAAAATTTGAACCTACAAGCGACGATTACCACTTACACAGGTTGAGACGATCGGAGACGCCTACATGGTCGTGTCAGGCCTGCCCATACGTAACGGCATTATGCACGCTCGCGAGATCTGCAGGATGTCACTATCGCTACTCGACGCCATCAGTCTTTTTCGTATCGAGCACAGACCGCAGCACAGCATAAGACTTCGCATCGGCGTGCATTCGAGTTTGCTAATCGAAATTTTTCTCCTATACGTAGAAACGCTTCCCATGTTTTGTAGAAGCCCGGAATTCTTTTTGTACCAAGTTTATTTATACTTGAGATTTGCGTATAGATTACTGTATTACAGATCGCCACGTGTAGCCCTTCGCTGCCGCTACATGAGAGCGAATATAGGAGCCTATGCGCTCTCTGTAACGTGAGCAGAGGGTTACACGTGTAGAGCTAACCATGCTACTATTATTATTGCGTGTACTAGAGAATCGTCTTGTTCATAGCGAGATAAATTTGCTCACGGTTTTCAGGTGGTAGAGTATATTATAGAGAGAGTATATATAATAGAGAGAATATTAAGCTCTACATCCCAATTCGTCTTCGCTATCTCGTTGCGCTCTATTTATTATCTTCTTGTGATGTTAACAATCTTAAATTACTTCATATGAATATTTTTGTATTCGCGATTTTAACTGGTATTAGCTTTAAAATAACCAGAAACGCTTTCACCAACCAAAGTTTTTCCATTTCCATCACACGTACAGTGTTGTCGAGGGTAAAACGAGGTAAACTTTACCAGCTTAATGATGTCTTGGCTCACAAATAGAGCACCGGCGTGATGGCACTGTTTGGTTTTTATTCTTGGCTGTTCATATTTGTACGGCAGGTCCATGTGTTAGTGGCGTGGTGGGTCTAAAAATGCCTCGCTACTGCCTTTTCGGTGATACAGTGAATACAGCCTCCCGCATGGAATCTAACGGAGAAGGTAATTAATCTTTGTATAAATATCAGACACCTGTATATTTTTAACAAATATACGAGGAGTTTACGTTAGTACGGTCTCTATTATTCACTCCCGGTACGGATGTAAGCGGCTGAATCATCAATGTGAATCAAAGCGAGTGTTCCGATAGATTACCCTGATGAAAGAGATGCACGCTTTTCCATAACTAGGTCGCGATCCAACAGGGTAATTATGATACGATTAATCAAGCACAGAGTGCTTCCAACCAGAAACACGTTTAAACTTCAGTCTCGCCCTCTTTCTCTCGCTTTTACAGGATATAAATAAATGAATAAATAAATATATTCATATATATATATATATACCTATAATGAATATATAATAGTGAAACACACGGACATCAATGGATTCATAGCATTCCAATTATAATAGATTATATGGTGTCATATATTTCCTATAATACATAGAATTGAATAGCCAGGAGAAGAGACGCCGCAAACACGCGCACGCACACGCACATTTATGCATGCACGCACGCACGCACGCACGCACGCACGCACGCACGCCCTCCCCCCACACACACACACTAATACATACATACAATGCATACACATCTTTGATGTCTGTGATGATGAAATGTGATATGTGATATGTGCATATATATTTATATATATCGCACGAATTGATAATACTTTGCAGCTTTGAAGATACATATTAGTGAGCAGACGAGAGAGTTGCTCGACGCAGTCGGAAACTTCAAATCGGAGCCCCGTGGAATGGTTCAATTGATGGTAATTTTACAAACACATATACGCGTACGGCAAGTGCATTTTAGTGGACATGCGGTTTTATGGGTAGGCAATTTCTCATTATTTAGAGAGTTTATGTTATTTTAGTAGTGTTATATTAGTGAGACTATTGACGTTATTGGAGTTTTAAACTCCCGACAAGAAACATAACAGAAGCCAAATAACCAAACCTATATAAAATCTCTGCTATTCACAGGCACGCGCACGCATAGGCCCGCGAGAGACGCGCAGTCACACACACACACACACACACACACACACACACACACACACACACACACACACACACACACACACACACACACACACACACACACACACACAACACACACACAACCCACACCAAACACACTACAGCACACACACACACATCACACACACCACACACACACACCACTCCACAACACACATCACACACACACACACACACACTAACACTACACACACACACACACCACCACACACCCCACCCACACACACACACACACACACACACCACACACACCACACACACACACACACACACACACACACACACACACACGACACACACACGTAGACACAAGCACACTGTAGGCTGGCAAACACGCCACGCTATCTCTCACATGCACTCATGTACTCACTCCTAACACCGCCCCACTTAGAAACATTGTACTCTACACTGCGGAGCATGCTATTTTCATTTGCTTGTAGTGGAAAGGAGACAACAGACCACGTATTGGCTTATAGAAGAATCCCAGCCTGAAGCTGACAATTGCATATTCTGATGAATTCTTTCAGATGGTGCAGATATTATAGGGCGACTGCACACTGTGTATATGGTTGTCTTACTCGTCGGTGGGGCAACACGGCCCGTCTTGATCTATGACATTGCGTGTCCTCTTGGTGTAACCGTGACTCAGTTCACCATATAGTATCGGCGTTTGGTCTTACTGGAATATGCATGGCTAATTAGCCAATGTACGCTCCTTAAGTGGCTGTATTAACAGCACAATGCAGCCAAACATTATTTTATTGGCTTCCGGCAACATTATGATGCGCCATGTAAACCTATTGCTAAGTACCGTTTTAGTTAGTGTGTGTTGTGCGTGTGTGTGGTGCTGTGTGCTGTGTGTGTTGTGGTGTGATGTGTAGTGTGTGTTGGTGTGTGTGTGGCTGTGTGATGCGCTCGTGTGTGTGTGTGTGTGTGAAGAGAGAGAGAGAAGAAGCAGAGACAGGACAGCAGAGCAGAAAAGTATACTTATATATTCAAAAGCACGTAATAGCAGATTGCGTGTGGCGTGTGTTGTGTGTGTGTGCCTGCTGCTGTGTGTCGTGTGTGCGTGTGTGGTGCGTGTGTGCGTGGTCGTGCGGTTTGTGTTGTGTGTGTGTGTGTGTCTGTGTGTGTGTGTATGTGGTGTGTGTGTGTGTGTGTATATATATGTGCTGTGTGTGTGTGGTTGTGTGTGTGTGTGTTGTGGTGTGTGTGGGTGTGGGCGTGGTGTATGTGTGTGCATGTCTATGTGAGACCATGATGTCGTGTTGTGATTTGTGTGTGTATGTGTGTGTATGTGTTTTGCCTCGTGTGGTTTGTGGGTGTGTTGTCGTGTGTTGTGTGTGGTGGTTGGTGTGTGTGTGTGTGTGTGTGTGTGTGTGTGTGTGTGTGTGCGCGCGCGCGTGTGTGCGTGAATGCGTGTGCACTGGTGCGCGCATGTTTTGCGCGTGTTCATTGTGAATGTAAAGCCGTAAACGATCATTTATTCTGGTATAGGCAAATATAACCAGAAACATTAAATATTTACCACAAATTACGAAAGATCGTTATAAAAAAGATTACAAAGGCGCATTTATTAGATTAATTTTCAAAATAAACGTTTGTTAATTACAATAATTTACAAAGCATTCAAAGCAATACAAGGACTTTGCTGCCGTTGTTATTACAACATTAAGTCAACGAGGTCATTATATGTCGAATTTTGGTGCCAACGTGATTACAAACATGAATTATAGCCTATATGTAAATAAGAAACGAACACCCATTGACTTTGATCGTATTCATAACGCTCTGTTAACTGTATTTAAAAATACTTTGCATTTGATGCCCATGCACTCGCTATACGACTATAAAAATTTAACGTCAATTATTTGTTGTGCATGTGTGATACGCGTACTTGTCGAGTTTTGATTTGTTGCCAGACATAATAACACAACAAAGACCCATGTTGACTCATGAAGACATGCAATGTTGTTTCGAAAATTGGAAAATCGAAAATATGTATTTGCTAATATATAAGTAGAGGCAAATGGCAAATATTTACCTCACAGAAATCACAAACCTCGCTGATACGGCTGTTATGTGGTTACGCATATCGAAGAAGTAGCCTAGTATACATGAGAATTTCAATCAATCACTATAACTACGCTGTATGAACCCCCCTAGCCTGTGGGCACGCGAAAGACTATAGCAATGGGCGGCAGTGTGTAAAGTAAAACCAATTATATAATGAACTATTTAAAATACAAATTTAAGGAAAATTTATCATAAATACAGAAAAAATATTATTTAAACGATAGCCGCACATGTGCTACTATAGCGAATACTTTACGATACAGCGCTTTCCTCCCAATAACCAAAGCTGTAATTGACCAAAAAAATCCCTTTTGCTTACGTATTGCGAGGCCAGCCACTTGTCGTACAGTGTCTACATTTATAATCGATGTGAAGAGAAAACGTAAACGATTTCGTTTCCTAAACATCTATGTAAACCTGCGCACCACAAAGGCAACCAGTGAGTATTGTTGATTCAACAGTGTGTTAGTAAACAGAGACGCGCATGCAGTGAGGTAGGAAGAAAAGAAGCATCTCCAATTAACTTATTCCCTCTATTACACTGCGCGCCGATCTGGTAACTCATCCATGTCTCGAAAACTTGACAAAGACAAAGGGATTCACAAGGACAGAAAAAGCAACTTAGAGAACAGTTCGAATAACGGTGCAGGCGTATGCACAATAGATTGAAAATAATTATAATGATGCACGGCTCAGACGTAGGAGTCTCCGTCGCGCCCTGAATATCGGAATATCGTATACCCGATATTCTGGCTGTTATTTCTTTTGTATCAGGTATTATACACTGCCAAACCAGCCAGTCAACGCTGGATGCTGTGAAATAATTAGATCTTTGGCGGATATGTGAATATAAATGTCTTTTTGTATTTTTCTCGACAACAAAATAGCGAAACTGTACGGGATTTCAAGTAATTATCAAAGACCGTATATAATAAGACCACAAAGACCGCATACAATCGACACTTGCTATGCTCGCCACTTTGAAATTATCTCAAACGCGCGACACTAGGGCCGACAAATGGCAAGCAAGTATCGACAGGTTACCAGCTGATAGAAAACAATGGCAGAGTGTAGGGAGTAACTCTATAGCGGCTAGAATAAAAAATTGGTTTTACTTTGTATTTTTCAATTTTATAGCGTAATTATTAATGTGCGCATATCAAACTTGCCGAGACATCATTGGCCTTTTGGGTGGTCCTAGTGATGTGTGGACCCCGTGAACAATTAAAAAAGATGAAGGCTTCTTCATGGAAAAGACTGTATTCCGTACATGTACTTGAATTATATGTCATGAAGCTTTAATAATAATAACAACATTGCCATTGGCATTGCAAGTATTCATAGGATTCCAAAAATATACATTTGCTCGATAAAAAAAATTTTGTTCTGGTATTTGCATTATTTCACCGTTATATAATAATATATTCACTTTACTCGCAGCATCACGCCATGGGTTCCTCGCTATGCCGATATTAATGTACGTGCAGATGGCGCTCATGTGTCGGTCACCGTGGACTGCAAAGATATTTTTCTTCGGCCGTTCTCATACGTTCAAACTAGTCGCGGGCGGGCCGACGGCACGTGGGCATGGTAAAATGATGAAATCTGATCTACATGCTTTACTTTGCTCGCAGCATCGCTCCACGATTCCCAGCAATGCTAATGTACACGGAAAATGTCGCTTCAACGTCGGTCGCCGACTTTCAATCTGGCAATGCTGTGTTAAGGATACTTTCAACCTTTTGCACGGGTATTGCTCTAATAAAGATTAAACGTTTATTGACAAATGAATCAAATCAATCACTTGTTTTATTTATAGCGGAGATATATCCCTACGATCAAAGCAAAACAATTCTTGAAATTTCTAGCACCTAATTATGTTACCACAAAATTTTTTAATTTTTATGTAAAAATGGTATTTTAGATATTTCTCAATTACCAGAAAGAGTGAAGATAGAAAATTTTCGCCACATGTTAAGCACAATATGTACCAAAATAGGACATCAGGATTTTTCTTCAAGTTTCATATTTACCGAGAAAAATTAAACAAACTGCCTAAAATTCAAGTCGCACGTTTGAATTTAAACTTTTTGCGAATAAAGAGACATAACTCATAAAATAGGGCACTTAATAACAATCCCTGACGAACTTTTTTACAGCAATATGTTACCATTAAAACGAGTGTGTAAAATTAAATTATTCCGATTTGTAATCACGGAGAAATATTCATTTATACATTGACTACTAAGTCAGAAATTGGAACAGGGAAATCAGCGTTTTTCTGACGTCACTACACATGTACGCGGGCAAGCAAAACGCTCGGACCGTTTACATGTCCCGTTATATGGAGAAATAAGCATGTACACAGGTGGCACATATACTGTTAGCCATCGAATAAAGTTGAAAATAAAAATTCGGTAACAATTTTCCTAAAACCTTGAGAGTATCCTTAACACACGCTCAACCGTTTTATACACCGCATTTCCTACTAACAGACAGTAAGATGGCAAGGAAGCTAACACCATCCAATTAACCAGTCTCGTCGCCGTGGTTCAGTCTGCTTGCAATTATTATCAAGGCATTCACAATTATTAATAGCGCCATGTCTACTACCAATGCTTGCCGCACGCACCCACTTACGCACACTTAGACACACACATATATACACTCACGCGCACAGGCACAGGCACTCCTAAATATCAAATGTCAAAGGTCAAATGTCAAATGCCATATGTCAAATGTCAAAGCTCTTTACCTCTTACCCCTACCCCTACCCCTACCGCTAACGCTGGCACTGACCCTAACCCTAACCCTAGCTTAGCGGGCGACTGTCACTTTCTGCTGACCAGCTGTCCAACGCCACTTGATATAGATATAAAAGTATAATCTTACACGTTAGTGTGGTCAATATACCTCAACAGCGCCTGGCAGGCATACATTTTCGATAGCTTACACACACACACCAAGACACAAACACAAATACACACGCGCGCGCACCGCACCCCCCCCCCCCATAGAGAGAGAGAGAAAGAGAGAGAGAGAGAGAGAGAGAGAGAGAGAGAGAGAGAGAGAGAGAGAGAGAGAGAGAGAGAGAGAGAGAGAGAGAGAGAGAGAGAGAGAGAGAGAGAGAGAGAGAGAGAGAGAGAGAGATGGAGAGAGATAGGAAGGATGGTGGTTGAGAATAGTGAAGATTAGTAAATGTCTGCATAGAAGGGCGAAGAGAAGAGGAGGGAAGAATGACAGAGTCAGAAGAAGCCAGACGTCCCTGCCTCCTATCTGCACAACCTCCTAGAACAGCGGTTCTTAATTTAGGGGGTCGTGACCCACATGGGGGTCGTTTGGTTTTTTTTCTGGGGGTCATCAAGGGGTCATAAATGAAACAAATCCATTTAAATTCTATATAATTATCAGGGGGAAAAAATACCCCAAAAAAGAATTCCTCATTTGGCTGGTTGGGCAAGTGACTCAT